TGTCCGAAATACTCGAAGCCATATCGTCGAACCGGGAGCCGGTCGACGAATCTAACGTCCTAGAGAGACACTTGGATATCTGGTTTGTGCTCATGTGTAGGTATGAAGAGATTATTTTAAATTACAAGAATCTCATATTACTGTTAATACGGGTTTGCCAAGACACTAGACGTCCATCCGACTCGTTTCGAAGTTATTACGATTGTTTTGATTTGCTAATGACCAAACTCTACACCGATATGTCACCGATACTTCAACGCATGACCGACACGTTGGAATTGATGTCCTCGCTTGGTCCGGAAACCAAACATAAGTATATGATACCAGGCATGCAAAAATTCGCTGATTATACTTTAAGTTTGCGGCCGAGAACCTTGTCGAAATTGTCGGAACGATCAGGTATCAACGTGGACGAGGTCGACCTTGAAATAAATACCATAGGTCAGTATATCAAGAATGTTTATAGAACAAAAATTTCTTGTTTTACTTTCAAGCATTGTAATACTCCGAGAAACATAACTCTGCGAAAAAAGACTGTACTAAATATTGCGAAAGATTATGAGTATGCAAGGGACAAGAATCTGATACCGCGGGAAATGACCATGATGCAATATGTGGAAAAAGAAATCGACAATTACGTTAATGAGACCATGAGAAAATGGTTCTACGATTTGGGATTCACATATGGCGAGGATGGAAAAGTTACAATCGGGACTAATTAAAATATTTTAAGCACCAAAATACCGTGTAGATTAATCGATATAATGTTGTGTACGTCCAACTTATGTAGATATTCTTGTGCAAAACAATTATGTATTAACGACTTGATGTCAAACAAAATGTGTCAACGTGGCATTTTATTTTACAACATTTTAAGTATCCACGTAGACTAAAATAATAGTAAAAAAAAACCGCCGTCACATGTTTTAGGCACACATTAATAACCATAAATTATGTTTGTGTTTCTAAAATAATAGTAGCTAAGAAAATGCAATGTATTTAAAAATTAATAAATCTTTGTACATCAATAAATAATTAATTAAGTCAAGAAAAGTTCATAAAATTATACTACTATATTACCAATCATAAGTTCGGAACAAGGTCTGGAACAGGTTTATTCATGACTCCCTGTATTAGTCGTTTCGAAACAAATACTATAGAATTCGTTACTTAAGATATCTATTCTGCAGCAAATAAAATATTGTGTCTTGTTCATAAATGAAATAAAATATATATTTCGTTCTTACTAATTATGACAGTCGTTATTTTTTTTTTATTAATGACTTTAGTAAATATTTATTTACTAATATTTTTTACTAAAAATAGAACTTTTATCCAAGAATTATCTGTTCAATCAACAAAAAATTCTTTATGAGTTCTGAATTCAGCATTGGACAATTTAATAAGAGAACAGTTGTATTTAAAATATATTATAGATATTGTTCGACACGTACGAAACAAGCTGATAACGTACCAGAACATTTCTGAGACTATAACCGAGTTCAGAACAGAACCACCTGGTTGTGGTTCATGTTCCAAAAAAATAGGATCAATGAATCTTAATTTTCAATTATGTGAATGACTGTAATAAATCATAATTTTTTATGAAAAACTGATAAATCAACCCCATATATATGGCCTTTTACACTTAATTAGATGGATAATGAATAATATAATATTGGAACAGCAAGTGTAATTAGCTTAAATAGTTTGAGGGGAAGTCATGCGGAAAACAGTTCCCCCTCATTGGTTCTGTATTTTAAAAAAAAAAAAGCTTAAATAGTTTACAGTTTAAACAAAATTTTTTTTAAAAGTTAATTTTTAAAATTTCATTAAAATAACATTTAAAATTATAAGTTTTCGTATCTCTTATTTTAAATTTAACATCGGTTGTCAATTTTATCTTATACTTATTTTGGGTAATCTTTTGCTTATACAGTAAATATAAAAAAAATGATCAAAAGTTGTGATATTATACAGTACTAAACCTTTTCGTATATATGACTTTCTCATTAAATGTTTAATATGAACTAGACGTTTTTGCGTTCTGAAAACATAGTGGTATGCCGCGTTTCTCTCTTAAGCTTTTTAAAAATACGAATTGGAAAAATGCCTTCTTTTAATGTATTTAATAACCAACATACATGTTTTTTGTTACAGAAATAATAAAATCATCGTAATAACGAAATCATTTCCCAGCTTTAAATAATGATTGACGCGCGTGCAGTTAAATTAATAAAAAAGCAGAAAGTTGCGTATAAATCATATGTTGTGACGCAAATATTATTATCATTATTGTGACGCCAAAACGATTTACTAATAATAATTAGTAAATCGTTTTGGCACGTGTATCAAAAACAAATTAAATTAATACCTAGTTGCAATATACTTTTGAGCACTGTATTTTTTAGTTATAATGTTTTATTGAATAGTACAACTGTACACTAACAAACATAAAGATAGATGCTTCATTTGTCCATTTTTTGGCCATATTTTTGAAAACCCGTGACAAAAATCATTATAATTATGAAATACTGATAATAAAAATGTTATTATCACGTCACGTTTAACTAGACAATAAAGTCAAATAGTTAGCTTTATTAGCTTAGCTTATAGGTAATTATCTTTATAACTATTGTTAACATTTTCATGGAGTTTATAATGTAGTTGTAAAGGCTTACCCAAATCTCAAATTGGAAAATATTTGATCAGAAACCGCCTATGTATGTATATGGATAAACTCTTTGTACATGATTGATTCATGGATTGAGCTAAAACTACTCACTACTGTTTTTTTTTCTCAAAAAAATGACACATTTATCACAGTTATTTCTACAGGATAAAATATTAATTGTTTTCGTCTCAAAACTCCTTTGCCGGGCACAAGTATGTGAAGCCAGTATAAACAGTAGATTAACTAAATGTTTAAAATGTATAAAGAACAATATATCTATGGGTTGGCTTTTTATTTTTTTGATATCTAATTTTAATATATATTTTTTAAAACAAATAAAAATAGGGGAAAAAATTCACTAAAAACGGTACCCCGTATATAAAATTCTTAGCTAAGCTTTTCTATAGTTTAAACTTGAACTAGAAAGCATTTAATAAAAAACCACCCAAGTGAATGTGTAGTTAAAATTTTATGATTTACTCATGGGTTGAGCTAGAACTGTTATTCTTTCTTAAAATAGACATATTTTTGCGTTCAAAGAAAATTGCGGTGCCCTCTTAAACTCGCTATCAATACGAATTGGAAAATCAATTTTGGTTTTCTTATTTTCGAATGAAAAAGTAACTTCTTTTGTATATTTCTCATCGATTTTTAGGTATGTTATGGTTAAAGAAATCGTTTTGAAGTTATAGAGCAAATAAAAAACATTGTCTAGACGAAACATCTGTTCAATTCAGCTGTTAGATGGATTTTTTAAAAATAATTATAGATACGTGTAATTTACAAAGTCGCGAAGCGAATGTTATTGACAAATAGTCTGGGCACGTGTTTCAAATAAAAATCAAACTAATACAAACTGTAATCGAATGTTTAAGCACTGAACTGTTTAGTTGATATTTTAAGCCGGAGTACCACTGTATTTTGTTTTTTCTTTCGACCCTACGATCATGCATTCGCTAACGTTGATTTCAATATTAGTTTGGCTCGCTGTACTTTGTTCTACACGCGTTGATTCGGATATTTTGAGTGAATCACAAATATCGGAGCTCGTTAATAAATTGAACATGTTGGTGCACCATTCAGGATGGCGGCATATGGACAACGTTCAAATCTTTAAAAAAAAACATAAAGAATTGGTGGATCCCATTTCCGAAATACTCGAAGCCATATCGTTGCACCGGGAGCCGGTCAACGAATCCAACGTCCTGGAAAGACACATGGAGATCTCGACAGTGCTCATGTGTAAGTACGGCGATATAGTTTTAAGTTACAAAAATCTCATAAATGTTTTAATACAGTTTTGCCAAGAAGAAAAAGATGCGCCCCACTCGTATCGAAGATACTACGATAGTTTTGATTTGCTAATGATCAAACTCTACAGCATGTCACCGATGCTTCAACGCATGACGGACGCGATGGAATTTATGGCTTCGCTTGGTCCGGAAACAAAACATAAGTATTTAATACCAGGCATGCAAAAATTGACCAGTTATACTTTAAGTTTACGGCCGAGGACCTTGTCGAAATTATGGGATCGCGGTACCAACATAGACGTGGTCGACCTTGAAATAAAATCCATAGGTGATTATATCACGGGTGTGTATAAAAAAAACATTTATTGGTTTACCTTCAATCATTGCATAACACCAAGAAACACAAAATGGACTGTACTAAATTTTGCGGAAGATTATGTGTATGCAAGGGATAGGAATCTGATACCGGAGGAAATGACTATATTGCAATATGTAGAAAAAGAAATCGACGATTACGTCAATGAGACCATGAGAAAATGGTTCGACGATTTGGGATTCGCATATAGGGAGGGAAAAGTTACAATCGGAACTAATTAAAAATATTATATAAATGTTTATAATGTCATAGCTCTTCGGAGATATAGGGGTATTTTTCTTTTATTTATTTATATATTTTTACATCAGTTTTAGAGTGTGCTTATAAATTAACTGTAAACTGAACTTTTTTTAGTTTTACTTGTGGGTTTCAACTAAATTGTATTACTTACTATAAAAATTCCATGTGTTAGACCCAGTTCTTTTCACCCAATAAACATACATAAATATTAGCTGTAGTCTGTATAATATGTAATTTCAATTTTTTTTATCGATTTCATTTATACTTAAGATAATTAGATTAGGTAATTGGTACCCAACATACTATAAGAGATACCTAATAAATTATCAATTTATTATACGCTTTATCACTAATTATTTTTAACGAATTGGCAGACTACATATTACACAATAATATTTATAACCTATAAGTACAGGCATATTAGTTTATAGCCTCTAGGTATTGTGTGCACGTTAACTTAAATTATATCAGCAATAATTTTAATATTATTGTGTTGGTATTCAAATAAACTTGATACTAAAGCTTGTTTAACGCCAAAAACGTAGCTTTCCAATTGGTTCTTAACGGCGATCTTCCCACTTTGTCTTTCGTCGTCTTTTTTGTACTGCTCGGCCTCATTGAGCATACGATCGGTTTCCGCTTGAGACAACCGGTCCTTGTCGTTCTTGATGACGATGTTGTTCGAACGTCCGGAGCGGTTGTCTTTGGCCGAAACGTTCTGAATACCATGAGCGTCCAAATCGAAAGTCACATCGATTTTTAGCACCCCTCTAGGCACCGGAGGTATTCCGGTTAGGTCGATCGTTCCTAATAGGTTGTTGTCTTTGGTCATTGCTCTCTCACCTTCACCAACACTTGAATAGTCACTGCCAGTTGGTTGTCCGCATTAATAGTGATCGTCTGAGTCTCCTTACACGGAATGGTAATGTTCCTTTTCGCGATCTTGGTCATAACGCCACCAGCCGTTTCAATTCCTAACGACAGCGGAGTGACGTCGAGCAGCAAAACGTCTGGGATCGCAGAGCTGGTGTCCCGACTGAGAATGGCGGCGCCGTATGCTACTGCTTCGTCGGGATTGATGGATTGGTTAAAGGACTAACCGCAGTAATAGTTTTGTAATAGGTTCTGGATCTTGGGTATTCTGGTGGATCCACCGACCAATACTACCACGTAGTGTATGGCTCCCTTGTCTAGTTTAGTGTCGGCCAAGTTCTTCGAACCTCGCCCGAGATACTCTCGTGTAGAAATCGATACCTTCCATGAGGGCGTCGATTTCTGTTGTTACTTCCGAACTGGACGACAGAGTACGCTTGGCTCTTTCGGCAGCTGTTCTCAGGTGTCGCAGAGCTCTCGGATTGACGTCCTATTTGAATTTTCTCTGGAACTCTTCGGCCAAATGCGAAACCAGTCTGTTGTCAAAATCTTCGCCTCCTAGATGAGTGTCACCGGTGGTGGATTTCACTTTAAATATCGAGCCCTCGTCATTGATTTCCACCACTGACACGCCGTCTAAGTCAAAAATCAGCACGTTCCGTTCTCCCTTTTTGTCTAGACCGTAAGCCAGAGCGGCCACCGTCGGCCCGTTGATTATCCTCATGACGTTCAGGCCGGCTATGATACCGGCGTTCTTTGTGGCTTGCCGTTGGGAGTCGTTGAAATAAGCCGGCACCGTGATCACCGCGTCCGTAACGCTCTCGCCCAAATAAGCTGCGACGGTCTCTTTCATTTTGCTCAATACCATGGAACTGATCTCCTCCGGAGCGAATACCTTGCGTTCGCCTTTGAACTCCACTTGGATTTTCGGTTTACCGCAATCATTGATCACGTGGAAAGGCCAGTGCTTCATGTCCGCCTGGGTTTTCTCATCGTCGAAACGCCGGCTGATCAGTCTCTTGGCGTCGAACACCGTATTTTTGGGGTTCATGGCCGCTTGGTTTTTGGCAACGTCGCCGATCAACCGTACGGTGCCTGTGAACGCCACACAACTGGCGGTGGTTCTGTTGCCTTGGTCAATGGCGATGATCTCCACTTTGCCGTTGTGCCACACTTCCACGCAGGAGTAGGTCGTTCCCAGATCAATGCCGATTGCCGTTTTCCTGACCATATTCGCGTTTGTCACACTACAGACGAAAAAGTCGTTGTTTAATTTTACACGCGTTGTAATTCACACGTGTTGAATATTATTGTGAGACGTATCGCATAAATCAAGTGTGCGACTTGAATATTATTGACAAATAGTCTGGGCACGTGTTACAAATAAAAATAAAATGAATACAAACTGTAATCAAATGTTAGAGCACTGTATTCTTTAGTTGAACATTTTAATCGAATAGTACTACTGTGTTTTGTTTTTTCTTTTGACGCTACGATAATGCATTTGCAAAAGTTTATTTCAATACTAGTTTGGATCGCTGTACTTTGTTCTACGCGCGTTGACACGGATATTATGAACGACATACGAAAATCGGAGTTCGCTAATAAATTAAACATGTTGATGCATCATTCGGGATGGCAGTGCGTGGATGACATTAAAATTTAAAAAAAAGATAGAAAAGAAATCTTGGATCCTATGTCCGAAATACTCGAAGCCGTATCGTCGAACCGGTAGCCGGTCGACGAATCTAACGTCCTAGAAAGACACTTAGATATCTGGTTTGTGCTCATGTGTAGGTATGAAAGGATTATTTTGAATTACAAGAATCTTATAAGTCTTTTAATATGGGTTTGCCAAGACACTAGAAGTCTATCCGACTTGTTTCAAAGATACTACGATTGTTTTGATTTGCTAATGACCAAACTCTACACCATGTCACCGATACTTCAACGCATGACGGACACGTTGGCATTTATGGCCTCGCTTGGTCCGGAAACTAAACATAAGTATATAATATCAGGCATGCAAAAATTGACCGATTATACTTTAAGTTTACAGTCGAGAACTTTATCAAAATTGTCGGAAAGCGGTGCCAACGTGGACGAGGTCGACCTTGAAATAAATACCATAGGTCAGTATATCAAGGATGTGTATAAAAAACACATTCATTGGTTTAACGACAAGCATTGTAATACCCCTAGAAACATAACTCCGAGAAAACGGACTGTAAAAAATATTACGAAAGATTATGTGTATGCAAAGGACAAGAACCTGATACCGCGGGAAATGACTATGTTGCAATGTGTAGCAAAAGAAATCGATGATTACGTTAATGAGACCTTTGAAAAATGGTTCAACGATTTGGGATTCGCATATAGTGAGGAGGGAAAAGTTATAATCAGGACTCATTAAAATATTATTAGCACTGGAATACTTACGGAGATATTATCTTGTTAATTATTATGTATTAACGACTTGATATTAAACAAAATGTGTCAAAGTGGCATTTTATTTTACAACCCTTTAAATATACACGTAGACTAAAATAATAGTAATGGAATTTTATAAAACAATCGCTGTCACGTGTTTTGGACAAACATTAATAATCATAAAACATTTTTGTATTTCTAAAATAATAGTAGCTAAGAAAATACTATGTATTTAAAAATGGATGATTCTTTATATATCAATAAATAACAAATATTGTCGATGGACGTTAATAAAATTATATTATTATATTACCAAACAAGTGTTCGGAACAAGTTCTGGAGCAGGTTACAAGTCACTTCCTGTAATGACTATAGTATGTATGTATATAATATAATATATACTGTATACAAATATAGTATAATGTACATAAAAAAAATACCCCGGAATTAATTCCTTAGGATATTCGTTTTGGAGCAAATAAAATGTATCTTTACCTTGTTCATTACTGGGATAAAATGTATTTGTTTTACATCTTAATTTTTATTATAAAAATGACTTCCCACCTAACTTTATCTTTTTCTTTTAATCGTCAAATCTGGATTAGATCTAATCGTTTATCATTAATATCGGATAGACCTCCCCCCCCCCTAAAAACGTATGCACGTTAATAGTACCTACATAGTGACAATGAACCAATGATTCCATTGTATGAAACCACGTTTTGGCATAATATTTTAGTAAAACATATTGATGAATGGAGCCGTGCAGTGTTGGCGTAAATATAAGCTGTTTTAATGACTTAATGTATGCACCCTCGGCACGGTAATGGTGTAATAAATTCATGTATTCGATAATTTTATGCACCTGAAACGGATAACAATTGCATACAACATGGTCCGTTTACTACATGTACGACAATTGATATCTCATGAAATAATTGATATTTTGTTGGTTTTATTTGTTAAAAAAAACGTTTGCATATGTTCTGTTGACAATATTATAAAATTACTAAATTTTGTCGGATCCATAGAGGTGCTAAATATTCAGGTATATCGGTCCACGAGGAAAACTAATTATCGTGGCTACAAAGAAAAACAAAGTATCACACACCATCTCTCAGTCAATTGTCTTGGCAGCTACGCCGCGAAGCTAAAATATAACAGTAACGATTCAATGTTACAACGTCGGTGACACGTCAAACGGATTCACATAAGACACTGGGACGAGGCTCTTGCAGTTCGACCCTTTCACAAAACATTTGTCGTTTTACCGACAAAGATTAGAATAGCAAAAGGGTTAGGGGCCGATGGGGGACGGGCGTCGTATGACCTAATATAACGTTTGAATAGATTTAGAAAAAAAAACAATTTAATTGAAAATTAAAAACGACCCCGACACTAACAGCTCTGTGTATACTTTAGGGTACACGTTTGATTTTGCGGAAATTATTCTCTCACCGGTTGATTTTCGCACGAGATATCAGATGTCAATTTTTTTTTTTTGACGTCTCGTCACTAATAATAACAATAACAATAATACGTATAATATAATAGAAACCGCTAAACCGTTTAGCGCGCAACAATCAACGAACCGCAGACGGTGTCCTTCGCAAACGTTCGTCGGGAAGAGGAAATAAGGATGGCAGCAAACGAGTCGGTGAATGGAGAAAGGCTATACGAAGTGTAACGGACCAAATGGAGATACCGAGAAAGATTCGAGCACTGAGTTGTCAGGGGTCGAAATGCAAAACCAAATGCGGTGGGGAGGAGTCAGAAAATCCAAAGTGCCACTACTTTGAATTGTCTGACTCCTGACAATCTCAAGACAGGGAGATGCCTCGTCATCAGGCCTTTTCAATATAGCGTGCACCAGAAAGTAAGAAATGACCAGCAACCGGTAGCGGCAAGACAATCCAATAACAATGGCGGACAAAGAAGAAGACCTAAAGAGAACTACGAGCAAATTGATTGAGAAGAAGCCGAAAAAATTGGATTAATTGGTAACGAGGAAAAAACAAAGCACACCATGACCGTGAAACAAGACAGCTGGATGTGCAAAATTGTAGTTTTAAAAAGGTAGCAAATTTCAAATACTTGGGTGTGAACATCAATGAGAACGCTGACAAAAAATTATTAGAAGGGCCAAAATGAGACGCTCAATGACCTTTTGATGACTTTTTTCCAAATCCAAAAAAATATAACGCATGGGCATGAACTCTGTCTACCTTAGGGTTATCAACCGTCCTTCATTGGTCAGGACAGTCCTACATATTTTGTATGATTTGTCCTACATCCAACTACGCTTTAAACTTTTTGTAGGACAATCCTACATTTCAATATAAAGACCTTAGGTCAGATATGTCCTTATATGATGTAGTGTAAAGTCTATGAAAAATTAAATAAATACTTTATATTTCATTGTTATTGTTTTTAACTTTATCAATTATTTAGCTTAATCAAATATGTATATTTAAGATTTAATTAGAGTGGCAAACAACTAATAGTTATATATTTATAATACTGTTGATT